TGAGCAGATAAATAAAATATGGTATCTATCTATCTATCTATCTATCTATCTATCTATCTATCTATCTATCTATCTATCTATCTATCTATCTACCTATCTACCTATCTACCTATCTACCTATCTACCTATCTATCTATCTACCTATCTACCTACCTATCTACCTATCTACCTATCTACCTATCTATCTATCTATCTATCTATCTATCTATCTATCTATCTATCTATCTATCTATCTATCTATCTATCTGTCTATCTATCTATCTATCTGTCTATCTATCTGTCTGTCTGTCTGTCTGTCTGTCTGTCTGTCTGTCTGTCTGTCTGTCTGTCTGTCTGTCTGTCTATCCATCCATCCTATTCATCTAGAAAAAGAATGCACTTCTGTTATTTTTTTGCATGGTTGGACTGGGAGGACATTATTTTAAGGGAAATATGAAAGGAGTAGGAAATGGAATATCTTTTTTTGCGGGGGAGGTCCGGTCGTGGGGCCTGAACTCTGGGCCTGGGTGCTGTCCCTCAGCTCTTCAGCTCAAGGCTAGCGCTCTACCACTTGAGCCACAGTGCCACTTCCGGCTTTTTTCTTTTTGCTTATGTGGTGCTGAGGAATCGAACCCAGGGCGTCAGGCATGCAAGGCAAGCGCTCTACCACTGAGCCACCTTCCCAGCCCAGGTAATGGAATATCTTATGATATCATTTATGTGGAATCTAAAAAAAACTAATTTCATGGAAGCAGAGAATAAGTAGATGGCCTTAGTTGGTCTCTTAGTGGGGAGGGAGGATAGGGAGACACTGGTAAACAATATATGGTAAAAATCAAATATAATAAATATAATAAATGTGTTGAGAATAGGCAAATACATAGATAAGACATGTATAGCTGGTTTAGGGGTAAGGAGAGTAGAGTGGGAGAGAGAAGTGGAGAATGACTGATCATAGAGTCATAGAGTTTGTTTTTTATATAGTTGAAATATTTTAGAATTGATGGTGGCAAGGGCTGTATAAGTCTATGAACATACTAAGAACCCCAAGAGTATATGCCTTCAGTGAGTGTGATACATGAATTATATCCTAATAAAGCTGTTTAAAAAGTAACGGAATTAAAACAAAAATAAATGTCAGAGAGTTTGGGCTTGATGTGATAATAAATTGCAGACAGTGAGTGGGAAATAGAATCTAGTAGAATCTAGCAGTCATTTTGGTAAGGTTTACTTATGGATTCATCTTGGTGCTGTTTCTCTGCCTTTGCTGATGAGGGTTGATTTAATCCTCCTTAGGAGAAGGAAAAATTTATGCTATCTCCCAAAGAGAAATGTATATTCTGTTTATAGTCAGATAAGGGGAGGACAGACAACTCTTTCTATGTCTGTTGGTTCTTAGATGCATCTGATTATTTGGTATAATTCTTGTGCCAAAGTGGTAGATCCTCATTCCCCTGTTCATCTGTAATAATTCAAAACAAAATTTCAGTTTATATGATTACCAAGTCTCTTTTATTTCAAAGCTTTTGGTTACCACTATCTGAAATTGTTCATGGAATCTGATCTCATTTATTTATTTACTTTATTGGTTTTTTTTTTTCTTTTTGGGCTCAGGCACAAAATACTAGTCCTTTGTTAGGAAATCTCTAGCTCCACCTCTGTGGGGTGGAGAGGGTGGAGTAGGGAATAGAATCCACAAAAATGCAAAAGCTTCAAAGAATTTCAGTATCCACTTAGTTTTCAGGTAAGAAGAAGGCTTCCAACCCCCCTCTCATTTAATGGATAAAGAATGGAGATTGAAGAAAGGTCAGAATCAGAATGTAAGGCTCTTCCTTTCCATTCCAGAGCTTTTCCCAGGCTTGGAAAGGGATAACACCTATTAGCATTGATTTCTGAGCCAGAGTAAATTGATTTCCCTGCAGAGGAGTATCCTTAGCTAATGCTTTGCCAGTTACCTGCCCTGACTGTAAGTGACAGTAACATCAACGATTTGGGGAACATGTAACTATAAGGAGCTTTCTAGATAAGGGCATCAATTATGCTGCACTTAATTGCCATCGAGCCATTACTGTTTTTCATGTGTTAGAAAACCGAGGCTTGGGATCTCAGTGAGTGAATGCCATCGCACAGTTTAGGGAATGGAAAAGTTGGAACTGGCCTCTGCATAGTCTGCTTACAAAGCTCTTGCTTCATTGGCAAAAGCTCTACCACATATCTCCTGGCCTTGTCCATTTGCCTTTAAGGGCATCCTGACCAGAAGAGGAGATTGCAGAGAATTTGACCCAGCTAGATTTGTAACAGATGGATCAGGTGGGGCTTTGTTTTGTTTCTGGGATGGAGAAAACTTTCTGGGCAAATGGATTACCGAGGAGGGACAGGTGGAGGAGAGTGTAGTGAGCGATCCCTGCCCTACTTCAGTGTGTAGAGGCTTGGTGAATACTCAGATTAGAAATGTTTTGATTTCATTCATATGTTGTGATAAGGGTTGGAAAGTATGGTGGAGGTGGGAAATTGGCAAAGTCGGCTCTGCCCAGAAACAGTGGGAAAAGTCACTGAAGTCATTCAGGGTCTTATCCCTAGCAGTCTGCAAGCTCCAATCATTCATTCTCTCTCTCTCTCTCTCTCTCTCTTTTGTTGTTGTTGGTCGTGGGGCCTGAACTCTGGGCCTGGGTTTTGTCCCTGAGCTCTTCAGCTCAAGGCAAGTGCTCTACCACTTGAGCCACCGTGCCACTTCTGGTTTTCTGATGGTTAATTAGAGATAAGAGTCTCACAAATTTTCCTGCTCAGGCTGGCTTGGCTTTGAAGTGTGATCCTTAGATCTCAGCATCCTGAGTAGCTAGGATTACAGATGTGAGCCACTGGTGCCTGGCTCATTATCTTTTAACTCTACTGAAAGCACCACTCTGGAGATATACATATACATACACACATATACTCACACACACACGCACACACACATAAACACACACACAGAAAGAGAAACAGAGAGAGACTTTCTACTTTAGTATTTGTTATTTTGACATGAGCACTCCCAGAATTCACTAAGTTTTCTAAGTAGAAGGTCACCACCCAGTATGTTCTACAGTAAGGGTCCAGAATTTCATTCTTCCTCATGTTTGGAGTCTATTAACTATTGGCTTTTCTCTTGGTACCTCTCTGTTCTCTGGGGGCCTTTGGGACCCACAGACATTCTATAGATTTGGTTTAGATGTTCCCTTCCCTTTGCCATAGTATCTCATTGTACTCAGAAGAAGTTCTTGCTTCTGTGCTTTAGAAAAGTCAGTGCTTATGCCCTGGGAAATAAGTCAATGAGATCCCTATTCATTGAGGCTCAAAATTTAATATGGGAAATTAAATTCATAGGGTGAAATATAACAAAAGAGTACTATAGGCTTATCAAAAATAATGAAAATTGTATTCTAAACTTACAAAATATTACGAAAGCATATGTGAGTTATCAATTCTTTATTTTAGTAGCTCTGAGTGTGAACTTAGGCTTTCATGTTTGCTAGGCAGCACTTGACCACATGAGACCTGCCTCTGGCCATCTGTTTGCTTTGTTTATTTTTTGAGATAGTCTTGCACAGCTATTGATTGAGATGAGACCTTGTAAACCTTGAATTATGTTTCTGCTAATCTCTGCCTCTTAAGTAGCTAGGATTGCAGGCATGAGGCACTAGTGCCCAGCAAGTTCTTCTTCTTTTTAAAGAGTTAAGTGAGGTGCTATGGAAATATTTGTGCCAAACATTTAATATTCTGGGGATTCCCTAAACAGCATAATAGAGAAGTGATTCAAGGTATAAGTGATTCAACCAAACCAAACAAAGGCATCAAAAGTGAATTTGGAGAAAAGCAAATTTTATTTGGAGTTACAGGATAGTAGTGTGTTTTTTTGAGTCTTGTAGGAACATTTTGGTATAGCCCAGGAGTTTCTGTACTTTATATAGGAATTAATGGAGGAGCTCTTTAGTTTCTTTTCTTTTTTGTCAATGAAGTTGAACTAAATGATGCATAATGTCATTTTGTGTTCTGACATCATTTTCTTTATGTGAAGTAACTACAAACAAACAAACAAATCACCCTCCTCCTAACCCCCCCCATTTTTTGTTAGTTGTAGAGTTTGAACTTTGTGCCTGGGCGCTGTCCCTCAGCTCTTCAGCTCAAGACTAGCTCTCTACCACTTGAGCCATAGTGCTACTTCAGGTATTCTGGTGGTTAATTGGAGATAAGTCTTATGGACTTTCCTGCTTGGGCTGGCTTTGAACCATGATCCTCAGATCTCAGCCTCCTGAGTTGTAGGATTGCAGGGTAGCCCCCAGCTCATAAATACTCCCATGTGAGAGTCTTGCCAAGTAGTGCCTTGGGTTTGTTCTCTCTGTTCTTTTAGGTGAGACATGTCAGAAACTGATTTCTCCCCATCAAGAGCTACCAGAGATTAACTGTGCCAAAAAGGGCATATTTTGGAGTTTAGAATCATTTACTTATATACTCACTCCATGAAATGTTAAATATAACCTCTGAGCCAGTGAGTGAGGAATAGTGGTGAGAGTTGAGAGGGGGCATTCAGTCTAGGAAGCAGACAAATCAGTTTTTACATGAAGCACAGATTTATTAGCAGGGGAAACAGGAGAGAAGCACAGACAGGATACACTGGGGTCGGGACTGAGGCAGAAGCTTCCCCTCAGCTCCAGAGTGTCTTCTCATAAGGAGGGAGCTCACAATAAGCGCAGATACTTTCCTTGCTTTGGGATACGGATGGAGCTATGGTTATGGCCAAACTGGGGACTGGAGAGGATGAAGTCTCCCTCATGCCTCCTTGGGATTGTATCAGGGCAGGATATAGTAAGAGGCTTGAAGCAAGAGGATTTATGTAGTAAGCAATCTGATGGGTAACATTCTTCCACTGGATTCTGGAAAGGAGCAGGAGGTGGGAAAATTCTGGAGCTGGAGGGAAGAAGAACAAGAGGAAGATTCCATCTGGTAGGTAGCATGGTGGACAGGTAGCAGTCTCCAGTCTGCTCTTACTTCTGTTTACAACTGGGAGCTTGCTGGGCTGGGGCACATTTCTGCTGAGCCGTGACCTTGGGTGGGCATTGCTTCTTGGCCTGAGGAGTACATGGATCTTTGGTTTTGGGTGTACATGTCTCTTGACATTTGACAGGTGGTGGCTGACAGGGCTGCTTCATTTGTTGCTGCTGGGCCTGCTGGGGCGGGCATTGCTGGCTCTGGTGCTGCTGGGAAGACATTGCTCCAGGAACAGGTGAGCCTGAAGGAAAGATGTATAGGGTTACATGAGAAGAGCTCCCTATATCCTTCCTCTCATCTGACTCCTAGGGAGTGTTTACCTCCAATCGCCAATGATATGATGCATGATACGCTCTCCTCAGGTAGATTCATGATTCACACATACCCGGTGTGACCTTCCTCTTTCACTTCCTCCTTCTCTGCTATTCTAATTTACTATCTTCCGGCATCCTCCCATGGACTCCTGACTTAACTGAACACACAGTTCCTAGTCGTCCTAAGAAATAAGGTGAGGTGCTGAGTTGAGGATTTAAAGGTAGCCTTTTTGTTTGGTAAATCCAGGGCATCTTATCGTCATGGATGGACCTGACTAATATCAACTGACTACTTTTGATAATGTAGACAGAGTGAAAGGGTGCAAGAAAGAAAGGATGTGAGGAAGAGGACAGAATGGTGAAAAGTCTGGATTCTAATCCCAGTTCCACCCCAGAATGTTAAGGAGAGTCATTTAATAAGGCTACAGGATAGAGGTTCCAGCCTTCCTTGGAGAACTGGGGACTATGGTGGCCAAAGAGAGCATTAGAGACAAAGGACATAAAAAGATACTTTGCCAAAAGATAGCCTAGTTCAAGGGAAAGAGAGCTAGCCAAGTAGCCTCACATATAATTCAAGATTCAAGCCTGTACTGATTGGCCAAGCACATGTGGATATTCTATATTTTCTCTGAATCTCTTTGTCTTTCGAGGAAGATATGAGTCTGGAAATCGTCTAAGTTCTGGAAGTTCTCTGATAATTGTGTCTGGCTTTCTTCGGTAGTATTCCTCTTCTACTGAATTGACAATTACAAATGGAAAGTGCATGCCCAGAAAGAGGGGTGATAGCAATTAGGCTAATGAGGAGCTAATGTTGCATAGTAGGAAATACAATAAATTTAAAAGCAAATTTAAAGCTGATGAATAGAACCAAAAGGCTTCAGAAGAGAGCACAAAAATGTCTTAGAGAGGGCCTAAGTTGCTACAAAATGCTACAGCTCTACATAGCATCCCCTGGAGGAGAAAAGCTCAGAATCAGGAAATAAGTCACTCCATGTAATAGTGTGGACTGGAGATTAATTTTTCTAGGTAATAATTAGTGTGACATTTCCATAATTCCAAGTGACAAAAGGCTCTGTCACTTCCCTGATTACCCAAGAATAGAGCAAGACCTTGGCCTAGCGGCTCAAGTCAGGGTCAAGAAGGAAAGAGCTTAGTGAATCCCAGGTGGATAGGAGGATTCTCACTTACCACAGGCGAGTTGGACCCTAGAAGAAGAGGCAGACCAAAGATCTATGGGTAGCTACTCCTGGAACCCTTATAAAAGGCCCCCAACCTGCCCCAGGCCCTTGGTGTGTCCCTCATTACCACCTCCCAGGGAATTCCTCACCCACTTCTCCCACCTGCACTTCCTCCTGGGTCTTGCTTTACTGGCGTGTTTTGATGAAAACCACCCACCAGATATTTCCAGAAGTCTGGGTCCCTGTACTGCAGCTGATTTAGCACACAGAAAGTGTTTGCCTCAACTCAAAGATTCAAGATCTTTTAAAAAACAGAACAAGCTGGAGAGTCCATTTGAAAACCTGCAGTTACAAGAAATATTGTAGAGGAAAAAGAAAGAGAGGGATGACTGGGTTGGAAGCACCTGTTAACAAAAATAGGAACACTTATTGAGCTGTCAATAAATGCTGACAGCATAAAGGCTCACATTTACTACGCCAACTGTGCCTAGCAATGAGACCACTCTTCTTTGCCATTATTTCCTTTGCTCTTTATAGCCCCTCTGGACAAATGGTGTTGATGCTATTGTGCAAATGAGAAAATGAGATGGAGAAAGATCACACTGGCAGGAAGGAGCAGTGATGAGTTCTGAACTCAAACCTGGATGATATATAAGGAGAATCCAGGGCCTAGCCACAGCTGTCGTCTGTCCTTCCATTTTCTAATACACAATGTCCATGCTTCCTGGGCTCTGTTGGGAATATCCACATGTATGTGAGGCTGCCCCTGGAGACCACGTAGAAGCCCATGAGAGTGGTGTCCATAGCACATGATGGTGTTGACCCTTAACCCCCTGCTTACTGGTTACTGGTGGCCAAAGAAAGTGTGAGAGAATTGATTTCAGAGGAAAGCTTGCCACATAAAATATAAGATACCAGGGCTGGGAAGGTGGCTCAGTGGTAGAGTGCTTGCCTTGCATGCCTGAGGCCCTGAGTTCGATTCCTCAGCACCACATAAACAAAAAGTAAAAAGCCAGAAGTGGTGCTGTGGCTCAAGTGGTAGAGCATTAGCCTTGAGCTGAAGAGCTGAGGGACAACGCCCAGGCCCAGAGTTCAGGCCCCACGACTGGACCCCCCAAAAAATATATATATAAGATACCAGCTAGGCACCAGTGGCTTATGCCTATGATCCTAGCTACTCAGGAGGCCGAGATCTGAGGATTGCAGATCAGTTGGAGCCAGCCTGGGCAATAAAGTCTATGAGATTCTAATCTCCAAATTAACCAGCAAAAAGCCAGAACTGGAGTCATGGCTCAAGTGATAAAGTGCCCACCATGAGGGAAATAGTCAAGCAAGAAGGGTACAAGGCTCTGAGCTCAGCTCCAGTATTGATCTGTCTGTCTGTCTGTGTCTGTCTGTACTATCCAGTTAATTGGGTATTTTAGATTAGCAATAGAATTCTCTAGATTGTGTCCCAAATATTGAGGGATACCTCAAACTCTTTCTTTCCAAAATGCTCTCCAAACTCATTTCATCTTTATGACAATTCTGTGGTGCAGTGGAACCCGATTTTACAGTTTGAGATAACAGACCCAAAAAAGTGCAATGAACTGGTCCACAATACACAGCTTGCCAGAGTGGCATTGGGTGGGGACCCTAGTCCAGGGCTCATTTCTACCACATCAGAGCGGCCAGTATCTCCACAGTGGACAAGTGACTGTCCAGTGTTCTGAGCTTTCTGTCACATGTAGACCAAACATTTGCTCTTCTTTTTTTTCATAGTTAATCTTTTCTGGCATTTACTTTGTTGACCTTTAATTCAGCTTTTTTAATAAAGGAATTACACTGTTTGAGTTCTCCCCTGAATCTAAAGTATTTTAACTAACACACACCACCTAAAGTATTTACTTGAATAAACCAATTGTAGCTTCCACATACAAGAGAAAACATGGAACCTTTGGGCCAGACTTACTGGTCAAGGGGCAGGGGGACTAGATGTATGAAGAGAAGAAGGGGGCAGAATGCAGTCAAATGTTCAATGCATATACTACAAAATTAAGAAACGTGAGGGAAGGGGTGAGAGGGAAGGGAAGGGTGAGAATGTTGAAAGGGGTGACGTTGATCAAAGCACATTGTATTCATAAACTGCTTGGTAGAACGGCAACTCCTTTGTACAGCTACTTAGAGATAATAAAAATGTTTAAAAAATAGTTAACCTTTCCCTAATTTTCCTCCTCCAGGCCCAACCTCTCTCTGCTTCCTCCTCCCGAGACTGTGAACAGGAAGAACGTAATGTTCTGGGTTCCAGATTCCAGGTTCTGCATTCCATCTCCCACCTCCTCTCCACCTGCATTCCAACTTCCTCTCCTCCACACCTGTACCCTCCTTCACTTCCATCCTCCCACTCCACTCTACTCCATTCCATGATGCTCATCCCAATCAGTGCAAACTCTGTCTGGGTGCCATAAGCAGCTAGAGAGATTCGTCTGGGGTGCAGATGAATGCCTACTGTAGCACATGCGTAGTTCAACTCTTCATGTCTCACTTGTCTGTCCACTTAGCTTCTCCAGAATGAATTTTTCTTATTTTTGTCACCAAATTGATCATCTCTGGTATCTTTATCAACAAACACTTTAGCTTTGAAGAACTCTGTCTAGTGGTAGAATCTTGGCTTAGGCTGCAACTTTCATTTCAGAGGATATTTCAGGGTTGGCTAGGATGAAGATTGAAGCCTGGTGGCCACAGTTGTCTGCCAGATTGCAAATGTCCAAGATACAGTCAAACTCATGTGCCCTAAACACATTACAACTTCCCACATCTTGCTACTCAACTTCCCTGTTGGCCACATTAGCCCTATTTTATAGAGAGGGAAACTGACTCTGGAAATGAGGATGCATCTTTGTCCAAGGTCACACGGGGACTAATGTCAAATCTAGGGTAGGGTCACAGGTCTCCAGACTTCACAGCTGTTTTCCATCAGCCAAAGGGCCTGAGACTCTGGTACTTTCATGGCAGAAACTCAGCTGAGCACAAATTTGGATGTTGTTTCTAATGGTCTCTGCCTGTCTTACCTTTTCGTTTCCTTGTTTTCTTCCCTGGTACTCGGGTGCTCATCTGCTCGGCAAGCCTGTCCTCCTCTAAGAGATCCTAACTGATACCTCTCTCTACATTGCCAGGCACAGGCACAATTTTAATATTAAACCTTATAAAGCACTTCCATATACAAGGTTGAGAATTGTAGGAAGGAATTTAATAGTCTTAGCTATTTTATAGATGGGAAAACTAGTTGCAATGGAGGCTGGATCTTGAATCCTGCTGGGAAGGCTGATCTAAGACTGTTAAAGTGGTAATGACTGGTTTAAAGATACCCTAACCTGCTGGGGCACTGGGTTATTCTTTCAAAGGAGGAGGAGAGACTTCCTGGCACCCCTCAAATCATCCCATGTAATCAACCCCTGTAGGCAGGGTGCTGTGTGGAATGGTGACTCTGTAGTCCCCGCTTCCACTCCTACCGTCCACTGTGACCATGAGGTTGTCCCCTTGCCCATTGCAAATTCTGCATCTCTTTTCTCATCTTCAAACAAGCTGGCTCTGTGGATACTGGGGAGCCAGGATTTACATCTTTTGCTCTACAGAACAGGGGCTTAAGAGCAGGTGTGTGTGTGTGTGTGTGTGTGTGTGTGTGTGTGTGTGTGTGTGTGTGTGTGTGTGTGACTCTGTTAGGGAGGGAAGGGCACAAGTAAGACTCAT